CAAATACAAACTTCACCCAATTGTAGCCTACAATAAGTTGATTGTTAACAGTCATTTAACTTAATAAATGAGTCCACTCATATAGTGAAAACCCGAGTAAATAGTGATTTTTACTGGTTTCTTTCTTATTTTTCGTTGATATTTCAACCAATTTTCATCAAACTTAATAATTGCTTTATAAATGTATCCTCTTTTACATCGCTGACACACTGACAAAATGAATGACAAAAACTCCAAAATAATTGTGGTCGGAAGTGGGTCTTCATGTTACCTGTTTTCCCCTTCATATCATTGGCTAACTTCGACTGAATAAATACAGACTACTTCTGTTGTATCAGTAACTGCATTAATTCAAAATCTTTTTTTAATGAAATTGAAGAAGATACACTCTGCTGCATCTGAACATGGTGTTGTTTTTGCTCCATTCTAATTCAAAGCTTTTTCTGATCGATCAGCTGGGTATGGCTACTAGTAGATTAATAATATCTAAAATCTTATCTAGCAGTGAATGTTGGACTGTTTGATCGAAGATGAAGAAAATACTTGTAATGTAGTTTAGTTCTACCACTGAATCCAGAGACGGAGCATTTGAGAGGCGATCATTTTTTAAGAATAGAAACAACGAAAGAACTGCTATTAGTATTTTTAAAAACGTCAGTTGAAATCTTTTGCACATACGGAGAAAAAAGGGCTTAGATAATTTAACACTCACAGGGTACAATGAATGCTATTTGACTGAGTAATCCGATTGAAGAACAAGTGACGATAATATGGTAAGAGAGCAGCAAAATAAAGGAAAATGGGGAGAGATACGATTGCCTACGTTCTGAAACTTTATGCGAAATTTGTTCAAATATGGCCGACCAATTAATTTTTGACCATTTTTGTCTTTCTTTTATAGTAATTTACTAAGTGTAGCTTAGATATGGCACAAGGCCGAAAGCATGGTGCCTCCAGTAAGGATCGAACTCACTATTTAGTTATAATTTATCTAGCGAGGCAAACTTGCTACCCATTACAATATTTATTTCTGTAAAATTACAGAAAATGTGGTACAAAGCCTAAAAAAGGGGATGGGGAAAAGGACGGTCTTCATCTGTCTTAATTTAAACTTAGCTAGCCATAAACACTGAACCAAGCATACAAACAATATTCCTAACACCAAAACAACACATTCTTACTAGCCTTTCTTACTACAACCACCATAATACCTAATTGTCTCTATGAAAATCCTAAATAGTACAAATCATCGTATGTGGGGAGAGGAATAAAACAACAAATTAAAAAGATCCCCAATGAGTATATACAATACTTGCTACCCATTACACCACATCGAACTATTCTTTCCGTACTTCTATTGATTCGCTTGGTTCACAAACCTTTCCCGTCTTTTGAACAGTATAGGTTTATCACTTGTTTTGGATTTGGCTTTCGGTTTTTTCTCATTTTTTTATCCCCCGCTCCCGAATAAACTCTTGCGTCTTAGCGACATTATCGCCTTTCTTGGATGATTGGAATATATATTTTTTACCATTTTTTTTTCTTTCTTTTATACATTGCCAATTCCTTTGCTAAAATTGTACTACCTCATTTTTTCTTTTTTTTTTGCTTTTGTTTATTTTTTGTTTCGTTTTTTTATTTGTATTTTCTCTCTTGTGCTTCTTCTACTTAAGGTCTGGACTAAATCAAGATGAAAATGGATCAAAAGTTCTGTTTGAAACGACACCAAAAAATTTCATTGAATTGTTTGTGTACAAACAAAGGGTGAAATTGTTCCTTTGCGCTTAACGCCGAATCTATTGACAACGCAAGACACTGATTAGCCGTGACAGAGAGGCAAATGCGTATAATCAACTCTCAATAATTACCTTGTCGTCGTTGTCGTCTAATGAGAAGCCTTGCTCCCAATAAATATTGGCAGACGACAAAAACATTCACCGAGCGATGTCTACAAATCTTAATTTGCTTTTGAACGAGAAAGAAAACGGCAAAAACCGGAGAACCGTTCATACCAATCTTATTTGACAGTTTTATCTTCCATTCCGACTTTCCATATCAAATAATAAGGAAACCTTTTCTGATATTAGTCATTCTTTATAAATCAAACGTAGATCAAATATGAATTCTTCTGGAAATATCTTTAACGTCTTTCCGGTTTCTTGAGCCACTCACTGCTCTATCGCTATGGAAAGTGCTCAGACAAACTACATTCCTTAGTTTCACCAGTTCTAACCTTCATGGCTAAGACCCGACATACCACGCACATTGTAGAGAACCATCCACATTCCCTTCGTATTCAATTGGTGAGATGTTAGTTCCCCTCGAGCAGATTCTTCTCACGAACCGCTGCACTGTGGAACCGACTCCCAAGATGATGCTTCCCTAATCACTATTAACATGTTCAAATCTAATGTTAACCGTTATCTTCCCCACATAACTACATGAACTGTGCCTCTTACTCTGTAACCATCTACCTCGGGTGGCTCCAGGGCCTATTACATTTCCTCTTTGTTTTCTAAAATGAAGGGATTTCATTATTCTACATATTTTCTTAGATTTTCCTATTCTTTCTCGTCTTTTTGGTCAAGGCTTCGGCAAGTATCCCCTTCAGAGTTTATAGTGATTTCTGATTTCTGTAAAGAAATATCTGTATTATTTTGACTTTGAAATCAGAGAGTGGTATTAGAGCAGGACCAGCCCGAACCATGATCCATCTAAGATGGGATCAGGTATGCGTTCTAACCGAGATTATATACTATTATTATTATTATTATTATTATTATTTATATGTATGACCGTTACTGTTTGCAATCAAGGATCAGAGTGTAGTATCTGTCCGATCATCAGACCTTCTTAACTCTAATCAGATAGATTTTCTGTGTAAGTATTTACAATATTACACAGTGTTGTTCGATAAAAGTGACTCACCTGATTTTTTTTCTTAAAAAATTTTTCGCCTATTGTTTTTGGGGTCAAACTAATTTTTAATCTTACTAATATAAAGACCCCTTCCTGACCACCTAGTAAAAAAGTTTACTCACCCTAAGGTATTCTATAGATAATTATAATTTTGGATATAAATGAGATTTAGGGAAAAATTCTGTGCAAAAAAGTGACTCACTTATTTTCTGCAACTAGTAATCAATAGAAACATAACCGAACAGCTTTAAATAAAGAATAATAGAGGTATAATTCATTTATAATAGGTAATATAGTTCGAAATATTTAATAATCTATGAGTCCTCCTTTATTTTGAATAACCTTTTCAACCCTTTTTGGCATTGACTTGATTAGGTTCTGGCAAATCTCATCTCTAAGCATTGAATTCCATTCGGATATGAAATTCACCATCAAATCCTTTTTGTTGCTCAACTGCTTTCTCGAGAGCCTGTACTTTATAATGATCCATAAGTTTTCTATGGGGTTGAGGTCAGGAGATTGGGGCGGCCATGTCATAACACTCACCTGCTTCTCATCAAACTTTTCCTTCATCAGTTTTGCTTTGTGACAGGGTGCATTCTCCTGCATAAAAATGAGCTTGGTGGGGATTCGATTTCAGCAGAAGGGAGCAAACAAGACTCTAAAATTCTCTTGTACTGCTCGCTCCTGAAAGTCTTTTCAATAGGTTTTAAGAAACCAGTTCCCTGAAAAGAAAAGCATCCCCAGAACATTATACTGAACGGATGCTTGACAGTACTTACTGCTAAATTCAAAGAGCTTTCAAAGCTTCTTCTTCAGATTTTAGATCGCTTATCCTTTGAATTTAGCTCAACTTTCGTTTTATCGGTGAAAAGAACATTTAGTAAAAAAATCAGGTTAGTCACTTTTATCACTGTACCATAGTCATTCTGACAGAGAATTTATGTGATTCCTTTTTTCTCTCAGGGATCATAGTATAGTATCTACTTAATTTTCGGCAATTCGTAGCGGGAATAAATTAAGTTCTCTCACTGAGAGTCTATACTATTATTACTTTATACAGCCGTTACTCTTTGCTACCAAGAACATAAGTGAAGTATCTGTCCAATCTCCAGCCCTTCTGAGTTGTAATCAGTTATACTTTCTTACTGAGCATCTACAACATTATTCTTTTTTAGATGTACGGCCGTTATATTTTTTCTACCATTAATCAGCATGTAGTATTTGTCCAATCTCCAGCCTTTCTGCTCTGGAATCAGATATAATTCCTGGCCGTGAATCTATGGCATTCTTCTTATTTAAATATACAGCTTTTACTCTTTTCCATCAAGAACCAGAGTGTAGTATCTGTTTACACTGCGTGTGATAGTTCTGAAAGTAGTAAGTCATATTACCCACTTCCGTCCGCAGTACCCTACGATCAAAACCACCGCCTAGATCAATGTCAACGCACAGTAGACATGCATTGAGCAGTGTTTACTGCTGATAATTTTCAGGTAACCTTAATCATTTTGACTGAATGAGTGATTTGTTTTCTACGGCTTATCAACCTATTGCAGGTTATTTAAAGCCAAGAAATATTTCTAGATTGTAAGATTTTGTTTTTGAGATAATAATGACCAAGTGATACAAGTTTTACTAATTAACCCATAGCTAGGAGAGAACAATCAGACTTTGATACACAAAAAAACATTGTGGATATAAAAACGGAGTACCAATTATACATTATAATCAATATATAAACTGATCCATCACTTTGTGGCCAGTGTAGTTTATATACATTTATATTCCAAAGAATGTAAATTAATCTAAAAAACATGCTTGTGTAGCTAACCAGTATTTCATTATTTGATTCTTACGTTTTTCAACGACTTATCAACCTTTTTGCCAGCTATTTAAAGCCTGAAAATATTTTTAAATTGTAAGAATTTTTCTATATTTTTTTTTTTTTTCTGAATACATACCTTTTCCTAATGGTATCTGCGCTTAAGTGAAAATAACGAATCCAATGGGAATTGAAACTAGGCCTTAGGATTAACAATTCCAGAGCCGTTATCCATTACACCAACCGCACATCCAAGCTTACAGCACATGGTATTCCCAAGCGGTAACCCATCTGGATACTGACCAGTTTGGGCGTTGCTTAACTTCGGTGATCATTCGAGACCTGGTGTTTCAACGTTATATGGCCATAAGCCCTAACAGTTATGATAATGGAAACGATAAAATAAGCCATTTCCATATTTGTCATATGTCAAAACTCAGTGCAATCCGTGCACATATCGACCATCATATCAAATCGACCACCAAAAGGTAACTATCAACACAAGATAAATATTAGTATACAACACGAAAATATTCTACAGCACCCAATCATAAGGAAAGACTCCAAACTCTAGAAGCTATTATTGTACAAAATGAACAGCCCCACATTAAATAAAATATAATTCACCACAGAAGAAGGTATCTTGAAGTACATGTGATATGATTAATGTGTGCACATATTATATTAGTATTAAAAATATATTTTTTTAAATAATTAATTAATTAAGATAAATAAATGTCATTCTATTTTTTTTTGTGCGGCCTCGTTCTCGATAGCCGTTACACACAATGTCAGTTTAACCATTTCAAGCGATCAGCTTCCCAAAGAATACCAGAATGCAGGAAAAAGAAATTCTAACAAATAGATAACACACTGATTCCTGATAATGTCTACGAAAGACGAAATTACTTGAACAAAAATAAGAAAATATGAACTTCGGACAGCTTATCCACAATTTCGAGCAAATTTCTGAAAATTGGAAAAATATAATAAAAAAATTAAACAGAAAGAACTTATCGGTTCTTCTTAATCGAACATGTTTGGATGAATATATATATATATATATATATATATATATATATATATATATATATATATACTGAAAAAAAATTTACTACGTTAATAAAACACCGAAAAGAATAAATAAATATATAAGATAAAAAATATAAATAAATAAAAAAATAAGTAAAATAAATAAACCCAAATAAATAAACAAATAATCCACTCCCACCAAAATAACCGCTGGAATAGACTTCCACAATGCACAACTGACTCTATATATATATATATATATATATATATATATATAGCCAAGAAAAAAAAAAAACAACACTCGCGGCCTGACGATTGTTTCTATCAGGAAACATCATGTCGCCTCTAGTGTTGACTTCAATGTCCACTTTGATATTGAGCACTTTATTCACACACACACACACACACACACACACACACACACACATATATATATATATATATATATATATATATATATATATATATATATATATATATATATATATATATATATATCAAAAGAAGAGAGGAACAGCTAATGTTTATGCTTATAATATGGATTTTTTAAATATATATTATACTTTATTTTCCATATTTGCTACACATGATTCCGATCTCGCGATCTTCATCAGGCAAAGATGGATATTTCGACATATTAAAATGAATTAATTTTCTTGATGTCAAAGGAAGGGCAAAGAAATGATGTCTTCTTATCTTTTTATGATCCCTGTATCTTCTTAGATCTATTTCCATTTCTTTGTATTGTGTGTGCGTGTTTTTGCTAGTATGTATATGTATATTCCTTCTCCATACATACTGTCTTATTATAAGGAATCAGTATATATATTTATATATTGACACATACATATATATATATATATATATATATATCATATATATATATAAACACATGCATATATATATATATATATATAAGGTTGTTTTTTATAGATACAAGTATTTTTAAGCAAATATCTGTTTATATTTATACTTATATAAAATATTTTTTAATAAATAAATTGTCGGACCTTTGTCCATTTTTCATATATATATATATATATATAAATATAATAGTTTAAAAATTGTAATTTACATATACTTTGAGTTATGGAAAATAATTATACTTACTATGAGTAATTATCCTTCTGTTATAAAGTAATATAGTCAATTAAAATAACAAATGAAAATATTTTAAAATTTTAATGTGGTAATTTTAAAAATTGTAATTAAAAAGTTAAATATATTAACCTGTTCTTGGTACATACATGAAACTTTACTACTTAGGTTACATATATTTAAAATAAATAAATAAATTAAGTAATAAATAAAGTTTACTAAATCCGAGAAATGACTTGGCTAATTTTGTAGTAAGTTCATTAATATTCTAAAATAATATTTTAAAATATAAAGGTTTAAAATTGTAATTTATATATACTTGGATATTGAAAATAATTTTACTTACTATGAGTAATATTTCTGTTATAAAGTAATATAGTCTAATATAATAACAATGAAAATATTTCAAAAGTTTAAAGTTTGTAATTTTAAAATTGAAACTAAAATTAAAGTTAAATTGAATGAATTCTAACCCAAGTTTCTTTTAAATAATACTACACGCTAAAAAGAATCCCAAAAAGCAAATATAGTAAAATAAAATTAATATGAAATGCCATAAGATGTAAGCTTTTGAATGACCCATGTCCTTTGTACTTACATGAGAAACATTATATCACTAGGTTTTTATATATATCAAAAAAAAAAAAAAAAAAAAAAAAAATGTAACCTCATACATACTTAAACTTGAATTAATACATAAAGTTTACTAATTCTGAGAAATGACTTAGATAGTTTTGTAGTCTGGGCCATTAATATTACTTAAATAATATCTAAATTAAAAGTTTAAAATTGTAATTTACATATACTTTGATAGGAAAAAAAATTTTTACTTACTATGATATTATCCTTCTGTTATAAAGTAATATAGTCTAAATTAAAACTAACAATGAAAATATTTTAAAATTTTAAAGTTATAATTTTAAAATTTTAAAATTGAAATTAAAATTGTAGTAAAATAAAATGAATTCTAACATGTTATTTATACATACATATGAAACTTTATTAATTAGGTTACATATATTTGAAATAAATAAATTAATTAATTAATAAATAAATAAAGTTTACTAAATCTGAGAAATGACTTAGCTAGTTTTTGTAGTAAGTGCCATTAATATTACTTAAATAATATTTAAATTTAAAAGAAGAAAAGGAAAAAAAAAAAAAAAAAAAAAAATTTATATATACTTTGATATGGAAAAATAATCTTACTTAATATGAGTAATTTTCCTTCTGTTATAAAGTAATATAGTCTATTAAAACTAAACAATGAAAATATTTTAAAATTTTAAAGTTGTAATTTTGAATTTGTAATTAAAATTGTAGTTAAATTGAATGAATTCTAACCTAAATTTCTTTTAAATAATAACACGCATTAAAAAGAAAAAAAAACCTATAGTAAAATAAAATTAATATGAAAACCATAACAAAGCTTTTGAATGACCCATATCCTCAGTACTTACATATGAAATATTATAATAATAGGTTTATATATAAAAGAAAAGTTTACTGAATCAGTGAAATTAAGTAACCATTTCTGCTGTCATAGTCATATAAAAAAAAAAAAAAAAAAAATGTAACCTCATATACATACTTAAACTTAATGTTAAAATAATCCTACATAATATAATGGATTCTAATACATTTAACTGTTCTTAAAAAGAATATAGTAAAATAAAAATTAAAAAGGAAAATATTTCAAATCGTAGTTAAATAAAAAGTATTGTAAAAAAATCTTTAATTTAAAAGATGACGTTGAAAATTTTTTACCGTTAACAATTTTTTTTTTTTTTTTTTTTTAAAATTCAGACGACATCCATTCAACCGACGTCAGGTTTCAGTTAAAATACATTTACCAAAATGTTGATACAATGATACTGTCATAAGGAAAATTAGACACCCCGTGTTCAATTTGAGTAGAATATTCTGTAACCATGGAAACGTGATTTTAGCTATGTATTTAAAACCCGGTAAATTTTAAAAGTTATCCAAAATTCGCTTGAAGATGAAATTAATGCTTTTAATTTATTTGCAAAAAATAAAATTAGGGGTTTTAGCTTCTATTTTTGAAACATGGTTGGAACTGTGTAGCGAAAATAACCATATTTTAAATCAATTAATTTATAATATATATATATATATATATATAGAGAGAGAGAGAGAGAGAGAGAGATGAAAAGAAATTAAAGAGAGAAAAGACCCCAAAAGAGACACTTATACGAAAAGAAAAAAAGAAAGAAAGAAAAAAAAACTAAAAATAAAAGAAAGGAAAAGAGTAAATACATATAAGAACGATTAAAGAAAAAGAACTTATATTACGATTAGATAAGTTCGTTGTATACTTTCATACAAGCCTCACATGAGATCTTATGTATTATTTGTTTCTGTCTGTTTGTGTTACCTTTTCATGTTTTGTAAATTCGTGCAAATGTGGTACAAAATCATATGGTGATTTGTAATTTACTTTTCTGAGTGTATAAGTTCTCCTCCCAATATTCTGTTCTCAATGTTTATTTCTGACTTATTGACTTTTTTGTTTATTTTTTTTATTTTTTATTTTTTATTTTTTTTTTGTCCCGTCTTTTATTCTCTATCCGTTTGTATGTTTTGATAATAAATGTATTACTTGTCTCTATGTTTGGTTTACCGTCATTTGTCTATCGCGTTTGTTCCTTAACCGGTTCCGCTAGGCTGTGTCTGATCAAACAGAAAAAGACCTTTGGAGAAGGAAATTTGTTATAAGAATTGTATACATGTTAAAAATAATAATACAGGTTGCGATCATCAACTATCTCTGCTATCGATCCGGTTAGAGAACGGGGAACGGCCGTAACAGTATATACATATATATATTTTTAAAATTCCATATTATAACCAAAAACGTTAGCGGTTTCTCTCTTCTTTTTAAAATATATATTTTTCTCTTTGTTGGAACAACTATAACCTCTTCGTTTTATATATATATATATATATATATATATATATATATATATATATATATATATATATATATAGAGAGAGAGATAAGAGAGATAGAGGGAGATAAGTAGATAGAGAGAAAGAGATCTTGAATAGCTTTGTTTTCGTTACACTATAATATGTTCTCAATTTCCTTTATAACCAAATGAAGGTGAAAATAGTATATAGTATGTAATATATATATATATATATATATATATCGGAGTCTATATGATCGCCTCACACCAGAAATATATTAGGATGTTCAGAAAGCAATTTCGTATA